TGGGGCTAAGCTACGTCTAGGCGGCTCCACACCAGCTACATGGGCATAGCTAGCTGGCCTGTTCTCCATGGTGTGGAGCCGCACTTCTAAGCCTGTGAGCCTCGCCTCCAATGGTGCTAGCATCTGACATTTATTATAAGTACCATTATCACTAAAGGAGGCAGAGGAAGAACTGAACATGCGACATTCTGAGCAAGAGAAAGGAGGAGAGGAAGAGGGGGAAGCCATTGCTCTCATTTAAGCTACTAGCTTAGCTAGCTTCTAAACTAGCCAACCTAAGGTAGCAAATTAAATTTGGTAGTTAGCAAGAACTTCTGCAACACAAGTGCTTAAGTGGTGCAAGCTTATGTTGTCACTCAAAAATTAAGATGAATCTAGAAAATAGTGAGTTTAATTCCTAAACAATCTGGACGCAAGCACAACGCAGTGCAGGTACAGAAAACAGGAAATGAGTACGGTTTACTGTAGAGGCAGGAAACAGCAGTCCGTCAAAGGAAGCCAGAAACCGTTTAGGAGAAATATATTATTTGTTTGTAGTTTGTGTTAAAACTTTATTTGTCAAGTTATGGTTTTTTGGGGGGGGGGTTTACATCTAAAGTAAATATTTAGTTCTTATTGGACTGTCAGTTCAGTGTTTATTGGTAGATTATTTAGTTGGTGTCTTTGTCCATTCCCTGTGTGCGTTACTGGTTTGACCAGCCAGTATATACAGTATGTTCCGCATGTTCCTCATTTGCGAGGTCAGTTGTTGTTTTTTTGTTTGTTTGTTTGTTTGTTTTTTGAGGTGCTGTGCAGTTCAGTTTTCTGCTGTCTTTGCTATTGCTTCATGTAGGAGGGTCATTCAAAATGTCAGTGACACCACATGCTTTGCTCTACTTTTGTCTAAAACAGCTTTTTGAGTCAATGGGTAGTTTTTGAATAATAATCGACTAAATTTGACGATGTGTTTTTGACTGTTTTCAGCTTGGCTCCTCTTCTTTCATTGTCATTCACATTCATCTCATTCCACCTCTCAATTATACAAGTCCTGGACCTATAGATGTTCAAAAAATCACTTTGACATTGTTTAATGTTTCGTAATTGAATGTATTTTAGTTTAAAGACCCTTGTTCGGCCCCTCTGAAATGTTCTGCAGGTCCTCCTGGTTCATATGGTGTAAGAATCTCATGCCTATGATTTTTAATTTTGGAGAGAGAAAAAATGCTCCATCTTGTCTAACGGTGTCTGTCACACAGACACATTTTCATTCCATTTCTCTGTCTTTGTTTGTCTTTGTATTTCTCTGTCACTTGTTCTGCTCTAGAACCTCTATGTATTATGTTGTATTATGTCCCGATTCAGCCAAATCCCAGATCTTTCTCTATGTTGTTGGGTCTTATTTCACCACATATGGACAAACCTTGTACTGCTATGTTTTGCAAGTCTGACCGACAGCTTTGCAACAGTCAGGGCTTGCATGCCTAAAATTTATTAAGAAATTTAAAAATCTTTAGTTTTCATTATTATGTCAACCCATGTCATATTACACGTTTCTTGTTTTATTCTAAGACATGGTAGAAAGATCTTCTTTCCATGCAGTTTCAGTATCTGATCCCTATATTAATCTGTCGGCTAGATATACTGTATTTTTAGATATGCCAACACATATTAGATGTACTGAATCTCTGTCTGTATGTTTTTAGAGAAATCTTGGAGAGGGTTCCTAACGTCGTGTTGATATATGGTTTCATGCATGTTGTTGATTCCGTTGCGGTGAGAAACATTTTCAACAACAATTTTGTGCATTTCAGATCAGACATTAACAAGCACAGTGTTTTTGACCACATGTTTGATATCCACAGTGTGTGAGTGGAGGTGTTCTCAGAGGAGCAGGGAAACAGTTGATTGGTGTTCTGTGTAACCTAGCAGGACAATACTTCATCGGCCTCACCATCGGTGTGTCACTGATGTTCCCAGTGAAAATGGGCATTGTAGGCAAGTAAAGACCAATAATGGCATGCAGTTATACAGTAAGTAGCTGTGTCTCTTGCTTGTCAAATACCATTCAGGAAAGCCATTAAAATCTCCTTTCTCCTCTGTAATAGGGCTGTGGACAGGATTTACCATTGGTGCGCTAATGCAGGCAATTTTCTTTGTCACATATATATACAAGCTTGATTGGGAAAAGGCTGCTGAAGAGGTGCATAGCTACATGTCTTGACCAATAACAATCCTATTTTACAAGTTTTAAATTTGTCCTGAGTTACTGTATGTTTTGAAGTTACAATATTGCATTAACAACCATTTTTAATGTCTCCAATAAGGCAATGGTGAGAGCAGGAATCCAGGTCATAGAAAAAAAAGAGGCAGGAAATGCAGGTAAGCACCAATGCAATAACTGAAACATCCCTTGTGTCACACTATTTGGTAATACTAAAGGTTCTCCCTCAAACATTTAGACTCAAATCTCAACAAGGCCCAGGTCAATACTCCTGCATCCAGATGTGAGAGTGCTAAGGAAAACCACACATCCATGGACGTGCATATTCCAGCCCAGATTAAATCCACTACCACCACAGTGGGAGATGTTCTTACGGTAACACAGCTGGTTTTACGGCGTGGACTGACATTTCTGTTCATGGTCATCATCCTTGTTGCTGGAATCTTCCTCAGCAACTTGCTTGTCAGGCTACTGAAATGAGTCCTCTAATCCCACAAAGCTCGCAATTAGATGAATGAATGTCAGGTTTCATAGCATAAAATTCCACTAAACAATATTTTTATGTTAACAATTGTATAGAGTGCTGTAGAGATGATGTCAGTTGTCCTTCCAGTGATGGCACTGTCCAGTTCTTTTTTGGATTTTGCTGAGGAGACGTCTGTATGAGCTACAGGAATCTGAAAACTGTGAAAAGCATAAAGATCATAAAGTACTAAGGAAAATGACAGTAACTGACAAATTTTAACACACACTTCTGCTGTCCATAACATGGAAAAATTAACGTATTACATTGTAACTACAATTTGTGTTGTCTGTCTTAGTCTAAGACAACCATGTAAACTGTAGTCATTGATCTTAGTTTCTATGTGTTAGGATCTGCAGAAGTGTGCTTTAGAAATTGACAGTTACAATGATCACATATACATACTGCTCATACAAAAACAAAAGCAATGATATGTAATACAGCCTTGGATTCTTCCTGATGCTACAGTAAATTTCACATTACTAGAAAAGAAGCAAAAAGATTTTGAGTTAATTTTTGATTAACATTATAATCAATAGTTATTAGTCACATTCAGATCTACACAGATGCATCAGAGAACTCATTTAATAAAATGGGAGTCGTATGTTTTGTTCCAGAGTTTAAACTAGGGAAAAGAGTCAGTAAGGGGATTGTCAGTTTAGACATCATGTGACATTGTCAGAAATATGAAACACAAAGAAGACACCTAATTTAAAACCTCACAAAATACACGTAAATTATGATCCAACAGAGGTCTCTCAAAAAAAGGAACCTCAGATAACTGAGCTAACTGATAAGACTATTGTAAAATTCTGGGTCAGCAGATATTAAGAATATTATTTGGATGCAGAACACACTTTGGTGTATGGTAGATTTTATGGGGTGGTTATCTTGCCATTTTCATCCAAGAATTGTGGGCATTGTGTATGGAGTAAAAATAAAAAGTAAAAATACTGAAATTGGCCCTGTCTCCCAATGGTGAAGAATCCTTTAAAAAGTCCTCTTCTAGAACATGGTCCAGATCAGCACCAACCCTGATTGATTGTTTAGTGGACTGTGCCCTACCTCTCCACAAAACAAAATTATCAAAATCTATTCATTACTTTTTGATTGATGCTGTTAACAGCCAACCAACCAACAAACAAATGGTAAAAAAAACCATAACCTCCTTGGCAGAGGTAATAAAACTGCTGATGTTTGTTGCCAGGTCTTTATGTGATGTGACGTCAAAGTCTGGACCTGTGTGTTTAAATCATACTTGGTGGCTGCAAAAATATTAGTATCAAAATTAAAATGATTAAAGCCTAATAATGCTTGGTACTAACCTGTGAGAAGTAAACCCTGGTTTTGAACAAGTGAACTTTGCCTTTTCTTGGTCAAATGTTGCAGGCTACATCAGAGCTACATCAGAAATATTGCTTTCCTCATAACCTCCTTCTTAAAGACAGGAATATCAACTAATAAGTTGTTCTGTGGAGCTCAGAAACTCATCTGAACTAAGATAATAGGCAATGTGACCATAGGATTATTGTTATTTATTTATCTTTGTTTCTAGTAGATTATAGGTATTGGACTACTATACACATGGGTCACAGTTATCTTTGAACCCTGTTATCTGATGATCAAGTTCATTTCTTCAGGTTAAGTTGAACACCATCAGCAATATTTTGCTGTGTAAGGAAAAATGGGAACATTTCATTTAGTCTAATGAAGAAATGCTCACCTCTCATCCTCTCCCTCTGCTGTTTTTTCCCCCAGTTCCTTGTAGTGTTTAATTTCAGAACACCCACCAGAGGACGCTGTCTGCCCCCTCACCAGCCCCTTTAACCTGCTGTGCTGCTGCTAATCATCACCTGTGTTGACGGGTTAGAGATGACACATCTTTAATGCAGATTTTTATACTGTAGTCTGCAGCTATTTCCATTATTTGAAGCCATATTAATGATTTCCAGTGGTTTTGCTGTGGGACTGAGGAAACGGTACATCCTGGCAAGCAGCTTTCCTATCTCTACATACTGTATGGCCTTTGTGCATTACTAAGGGTTAATGTGACACAGTGTAGCTGACTTTTATCATTTTAAGTGGAGACACAATTTCCCCCTCCCGGTTGGTCATACATATACTAATACAGATTTATAGTACTGATATATAGTACGCAATACTACTGGAAATCTAACAGACACTTAGAGTGGTGGTCCTACACATTTAAGATGCCACCCATTTCCATTTTTGGCAATGCATTTTACTGGTTATACTAGCCTTTTAGAGGTACCTGAAATGGTACCAAGGTACTAGATGGTTTATAATTTCAATAACCACCATTGAAGACCTCATTTAATGCACATACCTGTTCTGTCCTCGCTGTTGTACAGTATATACAACATTTGCTGGGGATGATGTTAATATAGCAATAAGGAAGGTGAGAGGGCTGATAAACATATACATTACCAGCCACTTTCCCACTGAATTGAATGTGAAAGTGAGATCAAAAATTTGATTGGGAGTATATCTGTATAATAAACCATTATCTTTTTATTTTTTATTATGATCTGACAGTATACATACATTATCTGTAAGGAAAATAGCTTTGTAAAATTAAAATTTTCCAGTATTCAGCACTAGAAACACCCTATTTCAACAAACAAAAGAAGTACTAAGCAATGCTGGATCATTCATAGAACCTTAATGACTTATGATAAAGATATGATGATAAAAAAGATGACAATGATGTTGCAAACTGAGAAGAGTTCATAAGGCAAAGAGATGTAGCCTGCATGTTATTATAACCAATATGAAATGTACAGTGATAGGATTTCTGGTCTTCCCATGGTGGGATGATTAGGTCTGGAGAGTGAAACATTATGCATCAGTGTGACATGAAAAGAGATGACTAGAATACAGCTGTATCCAGATGTAGGTAACAGTGTGTTTGTTTGTTTTTTTACTCGGTGCCTGTCTGATGAATCTGAATGCATTAAGCAGATTCCTTGATAGAACAGCAACATTCCCAAATGTATTTGGATGCTTGTGTTGTACTGACAATGAGACAGTATTGCTATTACTCCATTAATGCATTTTTTAAAATGTATATACACATCTATCACCATCACTTATCTCATTTTATTTCTATTACAACTATTTTCTGCCTTTACAATATTTGATGCTATAGAGTCTCCACTATGCACATTGGTCCCTGACAGTATTTTTTAGTATGAGTTAAATAAATAAAACCTCTTCTAAACATATTGCATTAAAATAATGTTTTTCATATCAGCATTGTGGCTGAAGATACTGTAGCTTATATTTTAATAGTTTGTCTTTATTCTGACACGTGAGACAAACACATACTAAACTATACTTTAGTCTATAGTGTTATCCTAACACAACTGAGTTAATAGTTCCAGTTCACTCAATTGCAGAGTAAAGGCAACAGGCTATGTAATTTTTAATTTTTCACATATGTACTTCACTTTACTGAAAATGCACCTGCACAACATTCACTCCACCAGAGAAGAGGGGCAAGCTCAGGTCCAAATCTGTGAAAGTTGTTAGACCCAGTTCTTTTGTTGAAAGCGCGAGAAGTGAAGACAGAAGAGGACTGTATAAAATCAATAGAAATGTAATCAAAGTCTAGTCACATGTAAACGGTACAAGGCTGAGCTCAGAGTGACAAAACTTCCGCAGGAACTCCGTCATCAAAGAGCCCCAAACCTTTGTCTGTAGTTCCATTTATCTTCGTGGGCGGGAACCGCCCTGGACAGAGGTTGGACTTACACGTATCTCAATGCTATTGACCATAGGCATGGGCAGGTCAGCCTCTGCTCACGTCAGCTACTAAATATGCTAATCAAATGGTGTGTGAATGTTGTGATGTCAAGCGGTAACTAACAAAAACAAGAGCATCTGGTCATCTTCAAAGAGCAGACATCCTGTCTATAAAAACCCTAATAAACCAACAGTAGATACCAAACATTTGGTTAACTTCAAAGCGCAGACTTCCTGCATACATACACATTCTTCAACAGACAAACAGGAGATACTAAGCAGTTCTAACAGTCATCAATGCAATAGTGATACATATATTGTAAGGAATAAAAAAAACTTAAGTTCATATGACTCAAATATTACAAAGTCCACTTTGTTGAGGAGGTGAGGGTGAGAAAACATTTTTAAAATTAGTTATAATGCTAAACAAATTAGCTTTAGATCCCTGATGCATTCTCCTCAAGTCATCACGTAATCCATCAATGTATAGGTTTCTTTAAGATCCAATTTAGACAAGATTTCATGTCGATATTGGCACTTGATCATTGGCACTGCCAATGGTGGCAGTGTAACTGAATAGTGACCTTTGAAATTGTTAGATTTTCTTCTAAAGAATTCACCAAAGCTATACCGCATCACAGCGGGTCCGCATTGACATCGGACGTCGCTGGCTCCAATATCGAACGTCGCCTCCATGGCGCGCACATACTCAAGTTTTAGCATTTTTCAAAAAATGGCTCAGTCGCCATCTTTGTCCTATACTTTCAATGTTAAACTCGACGACTTGCACCGATTAAAAAAACACATTTTTCTCAAACACTGCATGAATATTTATACTTTTTTAAACCTGACATGTGCACCCTCAGTACAATACATTATTTCTAACCATTTTACAACGAAATAAGTTTATTGGAGGTGTGCTATTTTGATATGGTTCTGGGCCAATATTGTCAGTCAAAATAATAAATATTATATTTATCCATTTTTAAACGTACGATGCTTTGTTATAGAATGGTTTCAAGCAAGGTGTAAATATATACTGCTCAAAAAAATAAAGGGAACACAACATAAGACATCCTAGATCTGAATGAATGAAATATTCTTATTAAATATCTAGTTCATTACATAGTTGAATGTCTTATTTTCCCTTGTGTTCCCTTTATTTTTTTAGCAGTGTATTTACACCTTATGTGGTCTGCTGTCTTTTACCATAGCAGACATCCAAACGGTGAATGTCAAGAGCCAGCAAGTGTTTCTCACCGAGTAAAGCAGAGGGGGCCATGGTTTCTCCACTAAAGTTGCTTTCACGCTTCAAGATGTGAGCAGTTTATCACAGATGTTTTCTGAAATCAAGTAGTTCACTTATCAACAAATCAGCACTTGTTCACAGTTGAAGAGTTTAACTTAGTTCAGCTCCTCTCCGTAGGCAACATTAGGCTAACGGGCTCTGCTTTCGAAGGTTCGATCCTCATTGCCATCGCAACCAGTGACGTATTACTGACGTCAGCTCTAATATTGAAAAAAGAATACTGGATAGTAATTTTACTTAATAATTTGTCATTTTAAACTAAAGCCTGATATTATTAGACCTGAAATGATTATATTTTAAAAACCAAACTTGGTGCCAAATTTTCCAGCTTCTAAAAAATGTGAATTTGCTGCATTTTATTTAATAGGGGCATATGTGCAAACAGATTTATTTGTTTGTTTCTTTGTAGGATAAAAAACAATTTGAAGATGTCATCACAGGGCTCTGACATTTTGTGCCTTCAGTTATCACCACATAACCACTAATATTTGGGTACATTTGGCAGTGAGTAGGATAATCAGTGATGGAGTCAACAACCTGGTTTGATTCTGGCAGCCAAACATTGAAGTACATTTTTACTAAATCAATACATTTATAAAATCTTTTAATTAAATGAAAGATGGTTGTGCATTGAAATTAATTGTGTGCTCATTAAATGCAAATTTTACTTTTATAATAACAGTATAGATAAATTAGGGGATAATTTATGTTGCAGCATTTTTAACTGCCTTTTGAAGAAGTGTTATTCATTTGCTAGCACTGTTTCAGTTAGAGCTGAGTCTTTATTTAATCCCTCACATTTTAGTATAACTTCAGAAAACATAGCTGCACTTACATGAACAGAAATTCTGAAACTGCATCTTTGCTGCAAGACACTGAAAATTCACAGCCTGACATTTATGTTAATTTGGAAAATCAAATCTAATCAAATTGTATTTGTATGGCGCCAAATCACAACAAAAGTCATTTCAGGACACTTTACAGAGTAAGGTCTAGACCTCACTGTTATCACTATTATTACATAGGGAAAACCCAACAAATCCCCCTTGAGCAAGCACTTGGCGACAGTGGGGAGGAAAAACTCCCTTTAACGGAAGAAACCTCTGACAGACCCCAGCTCTTGGTGGGCGGCCTTCTGCCTCGACCGGTTGGGGTGAGTGGATAGAGGAGAGACAAAAGAAGAAAAGCAACAAAAGGTACAGGGAGAGAGAGAGGACACACTATGGGAGAGAGGAGACACAAAGTTAGTAATGTGTAATGGTGGCATATAGAAGCATAGGGAGAGAGAGGAGAGGAGAGGGGAGGGGAGGGGAAAGAAACTCAGAGCATCATGGGGCCCCCCAGCAGCCTAGGCCTATAGCAGCATAACTAAGGGAAGGCTCAGGGTCACCTGATCCAGCCCTAACTATAAGCTTTATCAAAAAGGAACGTCTTAAGTCTAATCTTAAAGGTAGAGAGGGTGTCCGCCTCCCGAACTGAGACTGGGAGTTGGTTCCATAGGAGAGGAGCTTGATAGCTAAAGGCTCTGCCTCCCATTCTACTTCATTTAAAATGTTTAACTCCCTGACAGTTTTTAAAAAACAAGGTGTTTAAAGAATTGTTTTTGTCATTTTTTGTCAAAAAAGCCAAATTATATTGACCATGATTGATTTATCAAATCAATATAAAGGTAAAACATCAAAGGGGGTTCATACTTTTTTATGGGCACTGTATAAAGAAAATATAATAGAGTTTAATATAGAGCCTTGTGGTACTCCACAAGAGATGGGTGTAGAGGAGAAGCAGACTTTATCAATTTTAACTAAGGCTGATCTGTCCTGGTGGTAGAAGATAAACTATAGGCCAGTTCCTGAATGCCTACAACAAGTTTAAACACACACTAAGTGTGATGTCCCGGGGGAAGAAGTTGTCTCTCTCTGGATGTCTTGGCATACAGTGACCTGTAGCACCGTCAAGAGGGGAGGAGTTCAAACAGTTTGTGTCCTAGGTGTGAGGGGTCTGCAGAGATCTTCTCTGCCCTCCTCTTGACCCGTGAGGTGTACAAATCCTCCATGGAGGGCAGGCTGGTACTGATCATGCTTTCCGCAGTCCTGGCTGCCCGCTGAAGTCTGTTCCTGTCCTGTTTGGTTGCTGAGCCAAACCAGACAGAGATGGATGAACAGAAAACAGACTCGACGAATCATCTGTGGAGCTGTATCAGCAGCTTCTGGGGCAGGTTGAGCTGACACAGGAAGTACATCCTCTGCTGTGCCTTCTTGGTGATGGTGCTGATGCTGCGTGAGCGAAAGTGGTGCCTTGGCGGAGGTAACATACACTAGATGGTTTCTATCCCTGTGCCATCACTCTGAACACTTAATGATGATATGACAGGATACAGCAATCACCCCCAGTGCAATAAAACTGTAAATATAACCATCGGGAAGCTTTTTGCTTGTCTATATATATTTGTGAATAGGTCCTGTCTTTTTACCCTCCTATTTCTACCATTTTTTCCACTGATTGCGCAGTGTTCCTATTTGAATAGTTTCATTTTAGCTTCTGTACCAGAGTCAAATGTGTTGTCTAATCATACCTGGCCAATAAAGACTGAAGTCTAAATACGTATAGCATAGCCAACCACAGACTGCACATTTTAATCGTATTCAAATGTGCTGGGAGGGCGCTGAGTCTATGGTAGGTTACCTCAGTTGAGTAGAGCGGACTGCTAAAAATGCCGGGGTTGTGCGTCAGATCGTTGACTCAAGTATTTTTTGATTAATTTACTAATGACCAGTTTTATTAAATTGGTTTTGCACCACGGGTATGCCAGCTAATGTTAGTTAGACGTAGCTAACATGGGGGAAAAAATGAAAGTTGCTTAGTGTCCATTTTTGCAGGGAGTATAATCGCCCACCGTTCTTTTGTAGTATTTACACAGAAACAAAAAACCGGTCATTTTCGTGTCTGACAAAAAGTACACCGTCATAATATAAAGCAATATAGGCTATAATACGTAAAAGATAGTGATTGGCGCCTTTCACTACGGTGGTTCCATGGTGTAATGGTTAGCACTCTGGACTCTGAATCCAGCGATCCGAGTTCAAATCTCGGTGGAACCTGACTTTTATTTGTTCCCTTCCTGTCTTAGATTTGCAGTGGCACTGATGCAATTAAGCTTCGGCCACTCCAAATTTTAATATCAACAACGAAATGCGTATCGTTTCATGCTTCCTGGTGATCAGCTGTAAAGATCAGCAACTGTTTATGAGACAGTAATATTTGCCATTCTAGACACAGGTACTGCTTTCTGCTGTACGGAGGTCCGAGAGGATCCACGTGGCCCGCAGGCAGGGTCGGTCGGTCGGACTCCTCCCAGGGAGTCCACATGTCGAAGTGTCCTTGGGCAAAGCACTGAATCCCCCCGTTGCCCCCGACGGTCAAAGCCATCGGTTGAGCCAATAAAGGTGACTTGGCCAATAAAGGTGATTATGATTATCATAAATGTTACACACACAAACTTCGCTCTGGAGAAATACATTATTTGTAGGTAAATATGTCATTTTAAAAAAATTCAAAGCAGAAAATTTAGAAAAAGAGTATTTATTTTTCTTTTTATGCAAATTCACAATCAACAGTAAGCATAACTGAAAGGTAATCATTTAAGCCAGCCTTTATCATGAGGAGGTGTTGCAGGTTCTGGCACTGCTGCAGGTAAATAGATCCTTCATTGCAATGAAATAAACTGGACCCTTCTTTCATTTTTTCTGTCTTTTCTTGGACTTTGCTGCCCCCTTCTGGTGCGAAGTGGATCCTGTATTCCTGAAAAAAAGAAAAACTGTCAATTTAAAAAAAGATCTTGTGTAAAGTGTGCATAGCTCCTCAGTTGCCAGCTACAATCTCAGACAACTGGTGCACTTACTTGGGAGTTCTGTCTGGTGTTTCAGGATGGAGTATAATCACCTCTTCCTCTTCACTGTCAGACAACTCAACCACATTGGCTGTAAGGCAAGACATATTTTCCAAATTTATGCTTTAAAGTTATTCCAAATGTGCTCACAGAATAATCTAACCAACGTACATAATGTGTATGAAATTCCTATTGCATTTAATTTACTTTGTGCTGCCCTTTTAAACACCTGTCTGATGAATGCTCTTCTCCCAACTTTCTCTTTAGAAAAAAAAAAAAAACTACCTTCTCTGCTCTCCCCCGTTTTATGGGGTTCCTCTTCCATCACTGTTAGGTCTTCCTCCTGTTCTGCACTTCCGTTGTCATTGGTGTCCTCCTCCTCCTCCTCCTCCTCGTCGTCATCATCCTCCTCCTCCAGGCCCCAGGTGTTCTTCAGCCCCTGCCCGACCTGACCTACACCTGGGACAGGTACCACAAGCGATGGTACCCTGATATATATGGTTAAGGTGCAGTGGGTGCAGTTTGGCAAACAGACAGTAAAAGAGGGAAGGCACATTTTCTTGGCTGATGCACTTGTTCTTCTGGTTCATTTTAGGATACTTGTGAGGAGAGGGCTCAGCTTTCTGGATGATGTCACTGGCTGTTTCTTTTACATCTGTCACCTCCACTGGAGTCTCATCCATTTTCAATGCTGTGATTCGCTCTTGAGTTATAGACTCTGCATAACCACACCTACCGCCCGCCTTCCTGAAAAATGTAATAATACAGACTTCTTATGTCTTCTAATAAAAATCCCAAGATGTCCTTAGTTTTATCATTTAGCATGGTAATGTGATGCTGCTGCTCACCTGGCTGTCTTGTCATTTTCCAGGGCTTTTTCGATGAGGTCTGTGATTTCAGACACTTTGACGCTGGCTATTTTACTGCATCTCATGACCTTGAAAACCACAGTCAAAAAAGAAATTAGTAATGAGCTTTTTTCCTACCTCACTCACGTTCATGTCTTCTTACAGGATAATTACACTGACACTGTGATAAACCTGAGCTGCTTTTTCCTAGAAATACAGAAGTTTGTAAAATGCTATAATTAAATGAGCAATATCAGCCTAAACATACTTGGTCTACATGACTGCAACTAATATAATAAAAGTACAAATACTAACACTCAGAGCCCATTCACCTGCTCTTTAAGCAGCATGATGCCCCCACTGGACTGGATGGAGCAGATTTCTCTGTGTTTGTTCATGGCAATGATCAGCAAGCCGTCCATCACCCGCTCCTCCTGCTCACTGGGGTCCACCAGCAGATAGGTTCTGCAGAGCCAGAATGAGGAAGGACCATCTTCATTTCAACCAGTGCCAGTGAGAAACATGCAATATGCTAGATACAGGGACAGAGGACTATATGGTGAAATATGAACTTGGCTAACACAGGAGCTGAAGTCACTGGTGCTTTGTCGCTTACAATTAATGCAACAAAATATGAATATTTAATCCCTGCATTTCAATGTTTAAATCAACCTAGCAAAGAAATTGTGATAAAACTGGTGCATTCCATATTAATAATAGCATAGGATGAATTGGAAATGCTAGGTAAATATATGCCTATGTTTATACTGATACTTTCTGATATTGACAGTCAGAGAGCAAAGTGAGGAGGACAAGTCCCCCCATTTCCCAGGGGAAACTATACCCTTGAATATTCAAGAGGCATGTGTAAGCTGCTATAGTCTCCAGCAGCTGTATTTTGGTGTTAGCATTCAGACAGTAGTGGACATTAAAACGACAAAGCTGTGACTAGTTAACACCACATGTCATCAAAATAATGAAAAAGGAACACCATAGATGATCACTAAAGGCGTGTCTGTGTCTTTACATAATGTTTTGATGATATACATAGAAAGATTTGAGATAGTGTTGGTGGATAATGTCGCTCTGATAAACAGTAGAGGAGCCACACACAGCTGATAAAAAAATAAATAATATTTATTTGAATTGCCTAAAAAAGGGCAATATGGGAAGCAGGTCCAAAATTCTGCATATATTAAAACAATATTAGTAGCCAGTCTGTTCTGGATAATGTTACTGACCAGCATGGAACTAAAATAGTCTGAAGAAAAGAAATCTTAACATTTGTGATTGTCCTCTATTCAAATGTGGGGCCTTACCCTTGCTGGAAGAAGGAAAAGCTGACAGTGATGGGCATGTGGTAGATACTAAGAGGAATGGGGTCTCTCTCCTCTGGACTGTACTAAAGAAACACAGAATAAATACACAGTTACATAAAGAAAGAAAAGCTGTTTTGGCATTACCATATCATACCTATAGGCATTAATTTTGTACTGACCATTTACATATGATTATACAATGGTCATATGTAGTACACCAAGCTCCACTAAAAGTACCAACACAAAATTAAGATAACACAGCAGTTTGTTGTGTGGAGAATCAGACATTTCCCAGTAGATTCAGTGAAGCAGAGACACCACCTGCTGCGGTCGCTGCTGACTCACCACTGTGACTTCATCTCCCTGGATGCTGACATCAGGCCGTCTGAAGTGGCGCAAAGCGGTGATAGCGGCTATGCTGGCAGCATCCATCAGGTTCCCATCATGATTCAGCACGTGGACATCTGTCCTGATCTGCCAAACCTGAACACACACACACACACACACACACACACACACACACACACACACACACACACTTCATCTTTATCACTGCACTGGATAAGGTTCTTTTACTCTTTTGTGTGTGACAGTGCGTTTACCTTTTCTCCAGACGCCACACACAGGGACTCTGTATCAATGCACTTGGAGTTCCTCAAGCATCTCTCCAGCTGTCTGTTTAGCTTCACTGACAACTCAGACTGTCTGGAGAGAAAGAGAAATGCAGAGATCATTTACACTCTCCACACTAATAGCTTGACTAAATGAGGCACAGTGCAAATCTAATATGTCTCTCATCTCTATAAAACATAAATAAAATTGTATGGCATCAACAAACAAGATGGGATAAATTACATATAATCCTTTGGTTGTAGTAAGCACACTTAGCTTTACTCACCTGCTCTGTTCAAATGCTGGCGAGGCCATGGGTGACAGCTCTATGTTAAAAAACATGATTCCTTCGTTTGGTCGATTCTCTTTAGGAGCCACCAGCTCACAGGACACCTGGGCCATGACCCTATAGAGTGCAGCATATTGATATTCCATTATCACAAAAAATATAACTGAGTTTTATAAATGCATCGATTTTATATCAATTGAGGTGAACTGCATGCTTTGGATCTCGTAAAAGATTTTATGTTACATGCAGCATTCGGAGTAAATTAAAATGATAGTTTATAAGTACCATATTATTTAATGACTACATATTTTCCAGGTAGGCAGTGCAAAGGCTTAAAAAATATCTGGCCACAGGCTGACCTGGTTTTCCCTAGATCCACAAAGCAACATCCATAGTCAGTCCCAAATGTGATCTTTAGCTTTCTGTAGTCATAGGTCTGCCGTCCATCCAGGCGCTGCAGAGAAGGACAGGAAAGTTAAACATCACTTTCTACCGTATATTACTGGGCAATGACAGCCGTTTTACCAAAGCAGGGATCCATGAACAAACTCTACACGCTGTCAAGTGATGACACTAACACCTTTGCATTTCATTTTAAGCCTTCCATAAATGTGTTTCGCACGAAAGCGCCAGTGTTGTCATTAGACTAAAGTAAAAACATGGGGCATTTTGAGAAATCATCCCACCTTTTTCTCCTCGATGGCTTTGAGCAGGAAATCCCGCTCACAGTTGGATAGCGGTGTGTCTTTCATTCTGTGGGTATTTGTGCGATGGCCTAGAGTTATGTTTTAATAATACAGTTCACTATTGCACTACCACTGCTCCAAGACACATGCATCCGCCATCAATATTTTCTGACCTCTACCCCGGAAGTTCATTAGATATGCTTATATAAAAGCGGGGGGACATGTTTGTTTGCCTTGTTTAGAATTCTTAACTGTCTGTAATGTCACATTGCTTTGATTTGCGTATAATAACACAGATATTTGTTGGTAATGTGTCAGCGGAACAGTTTTCTAGATTTTACTGAAAATGAGCTTTTACTTTGAAATCCTGCTGCAGAGCGATTTTTTGATGCTTTAAAGTGCTCATTCTAAGCTCGTAATATGGAACTTTCCATGTTGTTAAATATTGACAAACTGTTTTGTATTTTGGAGGAATTTTGAAATTTCAGTCATTCAAAAGTTTTATAAAATACAATAACAAAATACTGTATTTTGGAAGTCGTTTGGTAAAGTTATTTATTTAACCTGTTCATATATTTAAACTTTATTTAACCAGTAAATCCGAGTGAAATTAGCAACATTCTTATTGAAGAAGACCTCAAGCTAAGAACAAAGAAAGATACAGAACAATTTACAGTTTAAGCGTGGCGGAGTGCTGGGCAGAGCAGAGTGGATTGATTGGTTTCATGCTAGTGCTGCATTGTGTCTTTAATTAGAGGACTCGAGAATGTTTACTGTATTACTGGAAATGCAGTCTCAAAAATCTAAATAGGCGTAAAATAACAAATATAGTACAACGACGTAAATAAATACCTAACCATTTGTCTTATATATTTTCTTGACAAATTCTATCTCGCGAGCGTGTGCGTCGGTTTCGTTTTGGATGATACGTGAAGGCACCACTCAGGCTCTCCATCTCTATCGGAGTGCACATGCCCATTTGCAAGGGTTTGCTCGCACTAATCAACCGCGCACCGTTATCTGGGCCAAGCTGTCATCTGCTGTCTCTCTTTAACATACAACCGTGTCTTTACGCGGGTTTTGGTGATACTTTCAGCAGACCAAACGTACAAGATACTGTCTCTGGTTTTGTTGTTCAAAGCGGAGAAACGGCTTTTATCGAGGCAATTTCTCAGCAGTTACAAGAAGGCGCAAGGTTTGTTTGTGTGCTCTCATTCATTCTGTCCATCCCTCCCTGTGCGACATCACTGCTAATTTAGCAGGCTAACTGTTGCTATCATTTAATATATGATAACCAGACACTTTCGGCCACTCTACCTTAAATTAATTAGTTGATCATTTTCAGTGCATGTTTTTAATTCCAGATCATGCGTAGTAGGCGGGTTCCTTGTATAAGCCCTTTCATCTACCAGCTAAGCTTATGTTATGCTAACGTTTACTGTGTGTGGTTGGCGCCCCGTCCAGTTAGTTAACGTTAGCTAGCGGAGCAGGTGCAGCAGCCGGAGCCATTCATCTCAGAGTTTGGACATTGCGGTGTTCGGTGGCAGCCATGTTAGCTCCACAACCATGTCCCATGACCTCTTCTTTGTAGTTCTTAGAGCTTTCAGGTATTAGTCTTCTTATAGTGATTATAACTTCAAAATGAGCTTTCTGGCACCGTTTAACTTCAGCTAGAGACCAAGGGATGTTTCCGCAGTGTACTTGGGCTATAACTGTGACGCGATTCGGCTAGTTAAGTTGGAGAGTGGGGCCGCCGGTGATATAACACCGGTTTGTTTTTGACAGTAGGCTACGCATGACAGACAAATCAAGCTACTCTCTGCTCAGGTAATGATGAGCTTGTCGTAATGAAAGCAGAACTGAGATGTCACAGATAACTGTGTAGTTAGACTTTGGCTGCAGCTGGGTTCTTTGGGGAGGCTGCTGCGCAGACTTGAGTTTGCAAGGTTTCTTTCATCCTAATCTCTGTTTAAAAGAATGTAATCTGGTCATCCCCAAAGTACAACAGGTAGACACACAGAGCAGGTTTACATGAGCTGATTAGATTGTCTGATGTTTGTGTGGTTTTACAGTCACCTGACTGGCATTTCTGTAAAACTCCAGATACATGTTGTATTTCAAAGAAGCTTCAGGTTAACATGGCACAGGAGTGTTTTACAGTTGAACATTGTAGCTGTAACTACAATGTCAAATTCTGTTAAACATTTCATCTTGTGTTCCTTTGTCTACTGTGTTGGACCAGCCTCTTACATCAGTGTGATCAATCTGAGTCAGAAGTCAGTTGGCAGGTCATTTCATGTGATGGATCCTTGATTCATTGTCTGTCCGTCCGTGGTAAAAGTAAAGGTCAAAGACCCTCTTTATGTGAAAGCAGGTGGAACTTTCATTAACTATTATGCCACACGAGCAGTTAGCTCTTTTATGGAGTCTAATAAAAGTCATTAGTTTGAATTGGAAGGCAACCAACTGACTAGTCATTTGGGACTTGTAATGTTGCTGGTTGAGAACCACCTCCCACTTATTCATACTGAAGTCAAAAGCCACTTCACTGAGGGCTCCATCCCCTGCACTGATATGAATGCATGTGACCACTTAATATCTTGACAGTATTCTGTGCAGTGAGACGATCCTGCTCAACCCACGACCCTATTCAGGAATCAGCGGTGTAGATAATGGATGGATGGAAAATGTGCTGCTGTGCTGTCTGTTTCATTTTCTGTTGCTCCCAACAAGAGTGAGCAGGTGTGGCCTTATCAGTTGGAGGTCACTCTAGCTGTTGTTACCGTTTGTGGTTGTGTGTGTGTGTGTGTGTGTGTGTGTGTGTGTGTGTGTGTGTGTGTTGGTTAGCAGGATTACGGACAAACAGCCCTAAAAGTAATTTGATTTTGGCTGAAAAAGGTCAAGGTCATAAAAAAATAAAAACAATTTAAAAAAAAGTTTAATCTTTAACATGGGGTAAAGTAAAATATATATTTATATCAGATCTCCACCAAAAGTTTGATTTGATTTATTCTTTCAAGCATGTACAGACAGTTGATATGTCAACACACATAATTTTACACATATCCAACAAATGCTAATCCAATATCAATTTGCTTATACCTAGTACATGCTTGAATGGAGTAGGAAGAAGTCAGACTTATCCAGTCCTACCCCATGACATCATCTTACCATCATTGGTTTGCAAGCAGTATCTCTACATAAATAATTCTCTTCTACACCACACAAGTAATATACTAAAAAATTATAACAGTGTTAACATTCTTGCATAATTACATTCTTAAATAATTATCTTCTACACCGCACAAGTAATATACTAAAGAATTATTACAAAGTGTTAACATTCATACACCACACCCACAATGTTCCATGTAATTAATCATTGAGCCTGCTCTTGCATATATCTTGATTGACACACACCTTTATATTTATATTTAAACTCATCAATTCTATTACTATTTTTTATGTCTACACTTAAATTATTCCATAGTTTTACCCCACTTATGGAAATACAAAATCTTTTTTTGGTTGTACGTATAGCATGAATTTTTAAATTTAACTGACCCCTTAAATTGTATCCCCCTTCCCTTTCATTAAATAGTTTTTGAATTCCACCAGGTAATAAATTGTTCCTGGCTTTATACATAAACACAGCAGTCTTATATCCCACTAAATCAAAAAATTTTAACAATTTAGACTGTATGAAATTTTTGTTGAAATTTGATACGCATGTCTAGGGTGGCACTGGCTATCACCGGACCTAATTTAATCAGGATCTGATCCAGAGATGGCACTGAAAATCCCATTTAACATATTTTCTGCTATAACTTGGCCAATAATGAAGATAGAACCCTGAAATGTTCAGCTAAGATGCACAGTATAGTTGCCTATCATGCCCTAAGAGATGATACAGAACTGATCAGGATCCACGATTGTAGGACACATTATGTGTTCCAGATCTCATTTTTCACAAGGGACCAGTTTGCATTGTGCCTTGGTGGAGGCCCATGCGCTCTCTGAGTGCTCTGGTTTGGTATAATTGATTTCTGAATTGTACCATTATTCAGCAAAACATCTCTACATTTTCATATGCATATTAGCCACACACACACACACACACCAGGATGGTAATCCCATGCATTTACTGCTACAAATTAGGATTGTAGTGAAGAGGGAGGAATGTAATTGTAAAGCTTGTTTTGTGCTCTAGATATGAAAGCACAAATGTTTAAATCCAAGAAATGGTGCCAATGATAATGTGCTCTAGATATGAAAGCACAAATGTTTTTTTCCAAGAAATGGTGCCAATGATAATAATGTGATCTGAAGACACAGGCTCTACATCAGGTAGCACTGGACTAACATGACCTCGTTCATCTCCTTTTTTCTCAAACTCTCACCCTGTCATCCCTCCATCCTTTTTTGCACTTGCATTCTGTTTTTGACCCCCTCTTTTGCACACATGTTGCTCTCTCCATAAATAACATCACCTGCATTTTCCTCTAATCCTGCTCCCCCACACCCTCCCTCCTCCACTGCTTACACCATGCTCATCCTTTATCTCACACTCTGTTCACCGTCCTACCATCACCCGCTCCCTGTCCCCCTCCCCTACAGATGAATTTGGACAGGGGTTGGATGTGGCATGCACTGCTCCTGTCTTACCTGGCTTTGGCAGTGGTAGCCCAAGAGAAGCAGTCAGAGGCTGATGTTTCAGACATCGATGCAAATATGGGCTTAGATGAGGAGGAATTAAAGGTTCTGATGGCTGAGGAGGAGGAGGCAACTGTGATGGATGAAGAACAATCTGATGAGACAGACAGAATGGACACAGCGAGCGTGAAGGATGGCAAAGCTGGAATGGATGAAAATGTCTCCTTCCAGGTCAGGCATGGGTAATGAGCCCAGTAAAGGTAAAAAGGGCAATATAAAGAAAGATGGGTAGAATTAAGTACATCAGACTTTAGAGAATGTTGGAACCCACTGATTTTAGGAAAAGTGGCTTGTTTGACAACTTGAAATTGTCATTTTTGTGTTCCCCAGGTAACATACAAGACTCCTGTTGCCACTGGAGATGTCTATTTTGCAGAGACGTTTGATGATGGGACACTGGACAGGTATTGCCTGAGAAATTTACAAAGTGCTGCTAAAAAAATACAGCATAAATATTTAATACATAGTGGGATACATGAGGCTCTAATGGTATTGAGTGACAGAATCAGTGGTTGAAGTGTGCTTACCTTTTCTTGTTCAGATGCTTAGTGTTTAATGATCTTGATCTCCACAGATGGCACCTGTCAAAGACGGTGAAGGGCGATGCAGATGATGACATCGCCAAATATGATGGTTTGTCATTACTTTCTCCCTCTGCTAACCTAGACTTTATGTGTGATGAGATCTCATGTACAGTATGATGCAAATGAAAAAGATTTTTACAACCATGGGTCTGTTTTTAATCTCTATTGCTTATAATAACACTTTACTTGGCAGCATAATTGCTGAGAAATCAGGTCATGGCACCGCAGCTAGAGACATTAAACGGTGTTTGCGATGTTCTGTTGAGTACACTAAAGCTGTCCCAGCAGAGTGTCTGCAACTACACACCCCAGCAATGAAGCTGTTAAGTAAAATATTGTCATAACCTATAACAGTGGTAGCCATGACCATGAAAATAACACCTGGGTTACTGAGTGTATTTTCTTCTCCTCTCCATCTGTAGGGAAGTGGGCTGTGGAGCAGCTGAAAGAGAACAAGGTTCCAGGAGACCTTGGCCTGGTGCTCAAGTCCCGGGCCAAGCACCATGCCATTGCTGCAATGCTAAACAAACCTTTTGTCTTCCAGAATGAACCTCTGGTCATACAGTGAGTTCCCATGATTACAAACACACATATTGTACCCTCTATTTCATCATGGATTTTTATATCATTGACTGCACTTGACAGTGAATGTGCTTATTCATTATTCAGGCAAGAAGATTATAGGAAAACTGTGCCGAAGACTTGTTGGATTGTTTGTGGTTTTCTGGTTATAGGTACGAGGTGAATTTCCAGGATGGTATCGACTGTGGTGGAGCATACATTAAACTGCTTTCAGACACTGGCAATCTCAATCTGGTTGGTATACGCATCTGTTGTAATCCATTTGTAATGTTTAGAGCATGGGCTGGTACCTGGCAGCCTGTGGGCCACATCTGGCTCACCAAAGTTTTCCATCCAGGATACAATATATTATATTAATATGTATATTAATGAAATCAGAAAATATGAGGAGGAAAAAAATGTTTTCTGGTATTTAGATTATTGAGATTTTGTTTCCCTCAAAACAGCAGTCCGCGGGAGTTTTCCCACTTTGTCTAACTACACCAAACTTTTTTGCTTTTGTTGGGATTAAACTGTCATAAAATACAAAAAGAGACACACTGATCCCTGTGGTAGAAGTAAATGTCTTTGTGAAACTTGATCATTTGAGGAAATTGCGACTGAACAGTGAGTGACAACAGTGCACAGTGAGGTCAGACCGACTTTACCTGCCCTCAGTAATCCCTGTGTCAGGTGATCAGGACATCTGCAGGGTCTTTATGTATCATGGTTCTTAATCAGCTTTCCTGCATTGTTTTGTGTGAAGATGTGTAAATATTGTACATGGATTTGGTCTTGACTGAAGTGCCCGTCCTCAATAGAGCAGCCCCTCCAGTTGAAAGAAGAACCCCCACACCCACACCCAAATGCAGGATGCAATTTGCACACTGGTTTTAGGATATGAATGGAGTGCAGCTTGTGCTGTCTTCATGCAAGAATGGGGACAAACTCATATTCTCATTTAACATTTTATTTTTTTCCACATGCTCTCATTTAACATTTTAACATTTAAGTAGGCCTACAGGTGTTAGTTCACACTGATAAAGAGAAATAAAAATATAATGATAATAACCTAATAATATATAACCTAAATATATATATTTTTTATTTGAAACTCCTGCCCCCACAGTGTCTGCTTAGAAAAATTCTGGCCCTTAGGAAAATATAGTTGATCACCCCTGATTTAGAGTTTTGATGTGCACAGTAACATTTACTTGCATATAGCAGAAACACTACATATTGGCCATTTTATTGGCAGTATTGTGGACTAGTATTGCTGGAAACACAATCCCAACCCTTCAAAGCATTTCTCCTCTATCTGGTGTATGTTTAGTGGACCTGGATAAAGATTGTAAAGATATACTCTTGAATTTGAACTGTTGTTTGTTGTGCATTGCAGGAGCAATTTCATGACCGCACACCCTACACTATCATGTTTGGACCAGACAAGTGTGGCGAAGACTACAAACTGCACTTCATCTTCCGCCATCGGAATCCTCTCAACAAAGACATGGAGGAGAAGCACGCCAAGAGGGCCGACGTCGACCTCAAGAAGTTTTACACTGACAAGAAGACTCACCTCTACACTCTGGGTATGGCTGCGGTTTACAAAGGCAGACAGTAGTGTTTGTTTTTACCCCCGGATGCTTTATTATTAAGTGTAAAGCATTTAACTTCAGTCTTCAGGCTAATGCCACACCAAACTGACAGTCTGCTATGGGCCACCAAATGTAGGAATGGTATTGTCACTGTAATGTAAATGATGCCACACCATAGAAGAAAAGAATGGACCACTAACAAAGACGTGAACAACAAAGCTTTATAATCAAAAAATAAAACTGTTAAAACCATCTCTTGGCCTTGCAAAAGACTCCAGAGATGTTACTGTAACTTCCTGTCTGAGCTTAGACTTCTTCACCATAATGATGTTCAAATTATTACTCGTTTAAAAAGACAGTTGCATGATATGATAATCATTTTACAGACAAAATGTTTAGCCAGAACATGCTTTAACATTTTGCATAAACATCAACACTTTCTGGGTCCCTTGAAAACACCTTGTCTATTATTAATGTGAACGTACATCTATCAGTAATCCATATATTCCCATATTATTAAGGTCGCATGGTCCGAACAGTCCCACCGTATGGTGATATTAGTGTTTGGATCAAAATTCTAAATAGAGATATTAATGCACCAATTACAACTCCAGTATGCTGTATTAGTATCCTATCAGAAGAACAAGATAAACGTTATACAGTACTGTGCAAAAGACTCAGGCCACCATTAAGTTTTGCTGGTTCAGCAAGGTTGTAATGATAATTTATATTTCTCACTCTCTTTAACCAGAAAATACAGGAAATGTTTACATAATATTAAAAAATGTTCAGATCAAAACAGCTTCTACAGTCCAAAGTCAGTATTTAGTGTGACCTCCCTTTGCACTTGGCACAGCTTGAATTCTTTTGGGGACACTCTGTTGAAGTCTTGAAACCATGACAGACCCTGCACCATGTTTCACTGAAGGCTGCTACTCTCGTTCTTCCGCCTCTCTCTAGTCCTTCTTCTCACATACTGTGCATGAGTGGAGCTGGACATTTCCAACTTCACCCATCACTCCACGAGACTCTTCCAGTCTTTGTGAACCTTTGCATATCTCAGGCTTTTCTCCCTGTCCTCCTTCTGAAAAAGTGATTTCTTGGCTGCTGTCCTTCACAAAGGCCATTCCTGATCGGGCTTCTTCGGACTGTAGAAGGATCAATTTGGCAACCAGATGGAGCTGCCAGATGTTGAGCCAGGTGCTTGCTGGATTTCCTCCAGTCTCTCAAAGAAGAAACTCTGAGAAACGTCTCATCATATTTGGACAGTTATCTTGGTCTTTCACTCCTGTTTTTGTCCTTGACCTCTCCAGAGTCTTCAGATTTCTTCAGATCCCAATGTGGGGTTTTCAATTTATTTGCTTTTTTTTTTTTTTTTTTTCCTGACATTTTTGTGTGTGTGTGTTTTTTTTATACTGTGTACATATTTTCTAGTTGTATTCTGGTAAATAAATATGTATTTAACATTCTTAAAATACAACCCTTACACAATACTGTATATCACTGTCAAATATGTATTAGTATGTGACACCATGGGCAGGTAGAACTGCATGTCACAACAAATACCCATTTGCATACTTTTCTGTTCTTCTTAGACCAAAACGTATTCTGTATTTTTCTCTGTTATCAGTCTTGAACCCAGACAACAGTTACGAGATGTTCATCGACCAGTCTAGTGTGAGCCGTGGCAACCTGCTGCATGATGTGGTGCCTCCAGTCAACCCTCCCAAAGAGACAGACGACCCAAATGACTCCAAGCCTGAGGACTGGGATGAGAGGGCCAAGATTCCTGACCCAGAAGCTGTCAAGCCTGATGACTGGTAACTGCAACCTTCATACTAGTACACAGAACAGATTTTGTTGATGAATTGACATTGATTAAATGTCCAGGTCTCAGTTACTGTGGTAAATAACAAATATGGATGTCTCAGGGATGAGGATGCCCCTGCTAAGCTTGAGGATCCTGATGCTGTGAAGCCTGAGGGCTGGCTGGATGATGAACCAGAGTTTGTCTCAGATCCTAACGCTGAGAAACCAGAAGACTGGTAAATAAACACATTCACAACAGTTCTACCAAAACAAGCCCACAGCCAGCCTTTGAATGATGTCACAGTATTTACACAAAAACATGACTTAGCTCTCTGTTCTCCTCTGTGTACAGGGATGAGGAGATGGACGGAGAATGGGAGGCTCCTCAGATTCCTAACCTGGCTTGTGAGACAGCTCCTGGCTGTGGGGAGTGGAAACGTCCCATGATCAATAACCCACAGTACAAGGGCAAGTGGAAAGCCCCTCTAGTGGTATATATATAATATTTGTGTGTGTGTGTGTGTCAAATTCCTCGTGTGTCTGACACACCTGGCCAATAAAGCTGATTCTGATGTTTCTGCTTGGCTGCAGGAAAATCAGCCTGATGTGAAATGACATAGTGGAGCACATGCTCATAGTCTAGGCTGAGATGTTATGCTTTATTCTTGAAAATCCAATCCATCTGGTTGTATCTTTGCTTTAATGATGGTGTGCACTCAGCCAAAAGACTGTATGATGTATTATAAACTGGACAGCCAAGCTGTCCTGCTGGAGATGCTCTGGATCTCTTCCTTCTAATTGTTTCTTCCACATCTTTTATCTTCGCCCAAGGGAGTCTGGAAGCCACGTAAGATCAATAACCCAGACTATTTTGAGGACTTGCAGCCTTTCAGGATGACCTCCTTCAAAGCTCTGGGCTTGGAGTTGTGGTCCATGACCTCGAATATCTACTTTGACAACTTCATTATCACCTCTCACAAGGAGGTGGCCGACCGCTGGGCATCTGACAGCTGGGGGCTGAAGAAACTGGTGGCTAGTGCTAATGAGGTCAGTGTGATGTTTTGTAAGGGCAACAGGAACATAGGGCAGCGCCCTTACACACTTATGTTGTCACTGAGTGTATCTAATTTACTACAGGGCTGTCGGTTTCTGTGAAGGAAAGGCTAGCAAATGCTCTGTGCTCTTGTCTCTCCTCATCCCTCCACCAGCCAGGGATTTTTGCTCAGCTGATGATGGCAGCAGAAGAACGACCATGGCTCTGGGTGATCTACATCCTGACAGTAGGCCTGCCCGTAGGACTGACTGTGCTCTTCTGCTGGCCAAAGGTATGAGGAGCCTGCCATTTTTATGTTACAATACTGATCATACTGTATTTATGATTTACACAAAAGCACACCAGGAAGCCTTCTAAACCTGTTTGGGATCACATCTCCTGTTTGTGTCCAAGAAAGCCGAAGAGGACTACATGTACAAGAAGGTAGATGTGCCCCAGGCTGATATAGAAGAAGAGGAGGAGGAGGAGGAGGAGGATGAAGAGGAGACAGCAGCAGCAGCAGATGAGGAAGACAAAGCAACTGAGGCCACAGAAGGAGCACCAGTGGCAGGTTAGACAGCCTTCTTTTGGTGCTGTGGTGTCCAGAGGATTGATATTAGTACATTGTTCTACGGTAGATTGTTATTCTTCATCCTGACTGATGTTACTTTGACTCTCCCTCTTAGGAGAAGTGACAGGGGAAGCTGAGGAGGAAGAAGAGGCTGATGTCAAAGCGGGAGGGGACAATCTAGAGGCGAGTGATGAAGAGGAGGAGGAAGAGGAAAGCAAAGCTCCTGAAAAAACATTAGGAGATGAGGTTCGTGTTGTTTTGAGTTATGTGCACAGCAGGACGAGCTAATGGTTACACAGTATTCATCTTGCTCAGGATTGTATGTGATGTTTTAGTTGAATGGCATAATTTAGTTTAATTAGTTTAATTAAAGTAAAATGAAAATCTTTTTCAAGTGATAAAAAAATGAATTCAGGATTTCAACTCCTTCAAAATATCTCAGTTCACCTGTTTCATTAAATGACAGATCACAAGTAATATGACAGCAGCTACCAGGAGTCACTTCATCTGCCTGAGTTCCAAAAGTATGAACTGGCAGCCACACTTGTTTCAGCACCTGGTAGAGTAGCAGTCTTCTTACTTCAGGGCTAGAACATCTTGTTCTTGCCATAGGTTTCCCAAAGCCACAGACTTGACAGCTTATTGTTAATGATGTGCTTGTGTTATACTCATGTGACACAAAAAATGAAATACTGTTGGTGTCATGTGGGTCTTTTTAAAACTTAAATGTAATCAAAGTTCTACCAGCACCATAGCTGTGTTTCCACTGTTGGAACCTAACAACTGGTAAACCCCATGCTTTCTTTACTGACTTATCTACAATGTTACAACAGTGAATTATCATCTTGGACATGACCTAAAGCTAAAACACAAAGTGTACGTAGGTTCTAGTATTTCAAAGCAGAAGCAACTCGGTTTATACACGTTTTGCAAACTCTTGCTTGCAAGACTTTTATTCTAACAAAATTAAGTATTGTGTAACAGTTTAAGGATTTCCTTGAATGGTCATATTCTGCAGGCAGTTGTGTTCATGTGAGCTTGCCTGACATCCACCGGTGCCATTGTAAAAGCGGAATGTTTCAACCACACACGGTTTTGTGGATATATTTTCCCTTCTGCTGCTGCACTGTGACCAGAGGATGTGGAGAAAAATACAGGGCCTGAGATTACTTCATGTCCAGGAATGTTCCTGTACAGGAACTTGTTGTTTTACTTGACCAGGTCTAACCTATAAGTAGCTGCCAGTGAAGCCCCTGTGGTGGTGAATGATCAGCTCATCAGTGCTGGATTCCCCCGGAGCACAGTACCTGTTTGTTTTGAGTGGTTGAGGTCATTGAGTCTTCTGCATGTGATGTGTTGCTGGTTAAGACGCAGATTAATGATCCATGATGTTATTGTCGGTGCTATGCTATCCATTGGAATTAATTTCACTACTTTAGGACTGTATGTGGTTGTGTGGTGGAAGACGTAGATTTACTGACCTTGGAGCTACTTGAAAGGGAGTGATGTTTCCACTACTCAGTGGGACTTAACAGTAAGTTTAAAAAAACGTGTTGCATGTCTGTTGATGCCTTGTTTCTGTAAGTTTAGAAAGAATTGTTGTAAGGCTGGCGAAGTTACTAAGTCTGCATTATGCCAGTCAAAATATGGGGTTTCTCAGTTACCTGCTTTGTTTAGATTGTTACACATCGCTTTTCATCTGTACAGATACCATTGTTTATCTATGGAGGAGACATTCATATTAATTAATGCTGTTGTGGTTCGTTGTGCTGTCCACTTTCATATTCTGGCTCGAACATGTCAGGTCGGATTTGAGGTATTGTCATTGTCAAAAATGTAGCTTATTTGTCAGTGTTCTTGTGTTTATGCTTTGTCCAGGCTTCTTGACAAGTCTTGTGTCAAAAAGTGTTCCCTCATCAAGATGTTTCCCCTGTTCAAAACTCGGTTTCATGTACCGCCCCCACCCCCTCAGTGGTTGTAGTTAGGATAATGTTAGGATTCAAGTTACGGGAAACAGATTTTGACACAACACCGGCAGCAGGAGTTGTGCACATTCATGAATTATCTTCTCATTTTTTAGGAAGAGGCTCTTGGGTTTTATCTTTCTGAAATAATTACAGACTATTTGGAGTTATGATGGGTGCAAAGCTAATCTAGAGGTACCCATGATTAAACATTAGATGACTGGAAATGAGCAAAGTGAGCATGGCATGGGCACTTTAATGTATGCCACCAAACAACAACAAACACATTAAGGGTCACTAATGTTAGATGAGGTTCTGGACACAGTGCTTGTGTTGCATTCCTAAATTTTCTGCTGCTGGTTTATCCTGGGATCACCTCAGTAGTTTAGAGAATTTATACAACACTTGCATTTGTTATGACTCAATAAAATCTTAGTTTTACCCTGCATTTGATTCTGTAGTTAATAGTACAAAGGAAATGCTCCTGTTTGGGAAAAAAATCACCCAGTGGTAATGAAAATGTATTCAGAAGACCATTAATAATGCCTTCACCTCACAAATCATGATGCATGGCTTTCTCCTACATTCAAGTACAGTAGTCGATTTTAAAATGTGTCTGCCGATATTGACTTAGAATTTGGTTGTGATGGAACCACGCTCAGTTACAATTCATATGGCCTATACTCAAGACATTGAATACATCTAAATAATGAAATTTAAGGAATGCATTCTGTGTGAGAGGTCTCTGAAATGCTGCTATTGGATGGTGTTCTGTGGCAAAGTGTTCTTGGACCCACAGTGCCACACCTTCATATCCACATGCTCATGGTTAGCCAGTGTGTGGAGATCTGCAGACAACACACTGAACAGTATCAGTCACTCACCTCCTTTCTGTTTAGACTTCTTCATGCCTCTGACTGTATGGCCTTGGCCTAATGTGTAGTCAGTCTGGCTGCTTGTTTTCATTTTCACTGACTGTACTTCTAAGAACAATTGCATATTTCATTCTAGTTAGTGGTTAAAAGGTCTAAAAAATTCAATTTGACCTGACAATATTTTCAGATATCATGCAAGATGGGGCTGAAGCTGTACTTTACCATTTTGGTCGAGTGTAAATGCGAGAGTGATGTTTTATGTCATCCATTAAACTAGGCTTTTCTTGCCTTTTATTTCAGTCCAGTTCCGGCCTGCAGCCAAAGGAGGGAGGAGACATTGCCAAAGACAGCTACAAACAAGCTGTGAGAAAGAGGAGGGTACGGAAAGACTGAAGAGGTGACCCCAACACCTACTGTGTCCTGTGTCCCACGATGGGGTGGAGGTGGGAGGGCCGTCTCTGCTGCTCCCCCCAGTCTAAGCAGAGCAGCATGTAATTCCTCCAAACCACCTGGCAGCCTGCAGTCACCCTGGCTGCCCCATCCATGTCTCCTCCATACCTCAACTACTCCCACCCCATCCTGTATCATTCCTCCTCTCATCTCATCTCATCCCTTCCTTTCTGCTCATTCAGCTATCAAATGAATTCCCTGGAGATTTTGTGCATTTAGCTGTTTTCTTTCCTCCATCCGTCTCCCCTTCTATAAGCCATTGCTGTCAAAACACCTGTCAGCCTAAAAAGCCCCACCTCTGTTCCTGTTCAGCCTATGCTATCAGTCCTCTCTCTGATTATCCTCTACCATAGATGTATGAGTCTGTCTCCTCTGAGACAAAGGCAGCAAAGAGCACCCGCCTGCTGGCCACTCCACTTCATACTATTTTACAGCATATCATAGGGGCCGCATCTCCAAGTTATTCTCATGTCCTTTATGGTAAAGAACATGTTCAAGGTCAGTTTGACCAAGTTCCTTCCTAGTTTGAAATTGTTAGGGTTCTGAGAACAGGCCAGGCTGCGAGGAAAGCTGTTTGTTACTGCTGTGTCAGCATCTCAGCTGAAAAGTCACCTCAGCTTAGGTTTAAAAGATTACCTCTTTAAAGGTGGATGTCCTGTTTAGATTTTAGCTAGTTTGTAAGGAGCAGCAGTTACCGTAGTGTGTTTTCTACTAAGTTATGGTAATTTAAGACTTAGTGCTAGCTAAGCACTCTATTTATTGGTTGTTTAAAATGTTTTATACCAGTATGAAGACAGATTTAATGATGCAGTGTTTTGAGTGACTTGAGGCAGTTTTCTTTATTGAGCTGCCACTGCAGTGTTTGTTCTGATCCTAGGTCAGTTTTTTTAAAAGACAGCAAAAGTAGGCCATTTTGGACAACCCGGCCGTCAGTCGACAGAATAAATATGTTCCTACGGCAAACAGCTGGATAATAAACCCGTGAAGATGTCTCATTCAGTCAGTGCACAGCAGTGCTTTCCTAGAATACAGTTCATATCCTGGATTGTTGTCCGGGGAAGATGTTGATGCTAATTTGTTTTATATTGTCTCAAGCTTTTGTAGTTGTTTTGCCAGACACTGGCAGATATCCCTGTTTACATTTGTTTGCATACATTTCTCTTGAAAATAAAACTATTTAATACAAAAAAACCTTTGTCAAAAGTCTGATCAAATGGGGCATGTTATCTCAACTTGGTGATGTACTTTCTCTTGCTCTTCTTTTGTCTCACTGACAGATGATGACAGAGTGAAGTGATTTCAGGTTTTTATTAAAACAAAAATGTTCAAAGGCAAAGGTGCAGGGTGTGCATAGGTAGGGCATGTTCAGCATTCCGGGAGGAAACTAAAATACTACTGTACAGCTGTTAAAAATAACAAAATAAGCTCAATAAATTACAGCATATACAATATTTAAAGCCTCTTATAATATTTCCTCCACTTCCTTTCCTCCCTTTTCAAACAGCACCGAGTCACTTGAATTACTGCTTTCCAGATATTACTCTACCAGATACTTCAGTCTAAAGGAAATAAAGCCTGTTCAGAATACATTACTTTTCATGTCCTTCCACAATCATCCCTTTGTTTTTACTGGAGGCAGCAAGCCAAGGTCTTGCCGACACACCCTCCACTCTGCTACACATTTTACAGTCAAACCCATTCTCTAGCAGGCCATGGAGTCCTGGCCCGACTCAGCCGATCAATAACACTCAGGCCTCTTTACTGCTGTTGTTGGTGGTGGTGCAGTTAAAGGGGAAAGCATTTCTTTCCTTGCCTCCTCATGTCATTTGCCCATTTCCTCCCCCACCCCCACAACTATTACAGGATAAGGACACAAATGTAATATGCAGGGATTTAGCATATCTGTAGCATTTCCTCTGTCAGTCTTGCTGCACAGCGTGTGCCACAACACTCCCTGATGATGTGATGAACTTAAATGGTTGCAAATAACTTTTAAGTACATAAAGAAAACCTTGTCAAAGTGATTTTAAAAAAAATCAACCACTTGGAGTCAAAACATAACTGACCTACACTTTTATGCCGTGCTAATTTACACAACTTTTAGTTTCTCTGTGCTTATCCTTGTGCTGTTGCTGAGCTCTAGTACCCACCTAGTATCATTAAAATATTAGCAACAGTTTTACAATCTACAAACCATTGATTATTGATGTATTGACTTTTCATTAGATATGTTAACTGCTCAACAAAACGAAAACCATGTAAGAGATGCACATGCCACCTAAATACATTTATTTTCATTTAACACTGTCCAGTTTGCCAACTTTTAAGTGGAGGTCATGCTATCTGTATATATGATGACATCCAAGACCTACCAAGCACTCAGATCCAGCTGACAGGAAATATTTTACCTAATAAATTACAAAATAAACCAGTGTTAACAGTTTGTGTGATATTTCTGGTACGTTTCAGCCCACTTACAGGTCAATCTGAAACAGGAACACTGTCACACAGTTAGGAAACCACAGAAAAGTCAAACCTGCCTTCAAACAGATAACCAAGCCGGCAAAACAAACCTTTTTGTACTTCTCAGTACTCTCAAATTATTTTCCAGAGCACTGAGAAGAACCTCAAGGTACAAATAACCCTTAACCACTTCATACACATACTCTGGTTCTTTTGTGTGTGTGTTAGTGATTAAAGGGTGATATGTAGTAAGGACAGGAAACTGCTGCAACGCAGACCTGCGCCAGACTAGCATGTATCTGAGACAACTGAATGGGTTGTTTATTGAAGGTCAGTTTCTGTTTTAGAATAAACTTAAACGTAGTGTGGACCCAGGTAAACAAGCTCAAACGGTTGCAGAAAACACCCAGGTGTGCTAAGAAAACAAACCCCTCTCCAGATCTCCATGATGAATTTCCTCTCCCAGCCGCTCACCCAGGACTTTGGGTTTTGTTTTATTGAGGGTAGCTCACTTTCGTTTGCTCTTGGTCTCGGTGGTCTGGAAGATGCTAGACGCAGACATGAGGTTCTCGATGTACTGTCCAAGGACCTGGTTCTCAGACTTCAACTTCAGGTTCTCCTCCTTGACTGTATCAACCCGTGCTGACAGGTCTGGAACACAAAAGAAGTCAGCTAAAACACAAGGTTCATCACTGTCAAATAATTCTAGTGATATCCACTTCCCCTGTCCTAGGTTCAGGTTTCCCTAGAGAAGTGGTTTGTACAATGCACTGGAAATCAGAAGTGTTTATAATTGTTGAGAAAGGCCACACTCAAAAGCTGAGTAAAATGTTGCTCTCAGAGGGGCGAGACAAGATGTTCTGATTAAGCATACTTACTCCTTTAGGTTTAATCTACATTCTATAACTAGCTTGTTCGATATCATAGTGATATCAATGCTCAAAAGGGCAAGAAAGACAGACGCGTCTCAGTGACGAGAACAAGAAGAGTGGGTTCTTACCGTTTGTACTAGAACATAGAACCAGAATGTAGACACAAGGAGTGTGAAAGCTTTTAGGTTCACAGTTTTTGGTGCAACTTTACCATCAATTACAGCTTTCAGCAAGTTTTACTCAAAGGTCCAAATGATCCTGTCACAAAATCTATGATCTCTGTTATATAATTTTGCCCCACAGTAAAAAAAGATGTGTGAGTATGTTACCTTCAAGTGTGTGCTGAAGTTCCAAAACCTGATTTATTAACCTCATCTTCTCCTCCATCTCCACCTGGTTCTCCATGTCTCCTGATGTAGACACAAACAGTGATTTACATAGCGGATCACTACCTGATGCCACCCTCACACACTAAATAATTCACACAATTCAGATGTGAGTAAACGCACCTTCTATGTCACAGTTCATGATGAGAAGCTTGTTTTCCTGTTTAGTATGCAGGGCTGCAGATCCACCGTCCACTGAAAAAGACACAGTGACAGAGGCTGAACTTCATGCTACTGACGACAGGGTGGTGTAAGAGAATACACGAATACTGAGGCTGCAGGGTTTTCACAGGGAATTGTGTAGTCATGGTTGGGTGCCACCCACATTCCGACAAGTCTTCTTGGGATCAGTTTACTCAGCTATGTAAACACCCTAAACATCATGTGCTTCTAAACATGCTTCCTGTTGTTTACTCTCAGTCGATGCCATAAAAGCTTGAAAGCTAAGAAATTCTGCTAAACTTGAGAGCTGTTTAAACCGAGTTCTGGCGGGCTCGCCCTGCGTGCCTGGATGTGGTTGACGATGACGGGTGGAGGCAAACACCGCACCCAGGCTGTGGGGTGATGCTGCTGACGACCAGCCTAAGTATCACTGAAATGTCTCTCCTGAGCCAAACACGTCTTTAGACACGAGCAGACTAATTCTGCTGTATCCACAAATATATGTGAGACTGATGCCAAATTACATTAGTTCCTTTATGAAAAAACCACAAATCTCCCATTCACGGCTGAATTTGTGTTAGCACCCTGTGGGCGGTCTGGACCTCTGCTCATCATTAATGCTTTCTCGTAAGTGGGACATCTTTTTTTTTTTGCCTCGGTCGCAGGTTGCTTGGCTAAACGGACCTTCCTCAGCCCGTAAAGATGTTTAAACAACTCTAACATAGCACAAAACGTGTGTATGTCGTTATTAAACCTCCAAATGCAGTACGGAGGCTGCCAGTGACCCTTTCCGGCAAAACAAGCAAATGCACATCGCACACAGACGTCCGATAATTGACGCATGAACATAAGCTATACAAGCTAACTAGATAGCTTTGTGGCTATGTACACCATTGGAGTAGCAACGCGATTACTTCAAATGCGAAGTTAGTATCTCATCAGAAGTAACCAAAACTATTCGGACTAGTTAGTTTCGTATTTAGAAACTATTCTCTGGTAAGTGCATTAACAATGTGTCACAGCATATCGAAGGCTGCTAACAGCTAACTGCTGCTTGCTAGCTTTTCCTTCAAATGGACATGATGAAGCTGGCTGTAATTTAGCTACTCTGCGGTTTCTGTCGCACAGAACAACTAACGTTAGCCCATGTCCGCGTATGAACTCACCTCCAGTAAAGAATGTCTTCTCCGTACAGCGGAGATACCCTGTATACAGACTTGAGACTCGGTAGCGATTATAACTGCACTTCACCCATCAACTTCTGTCATCACGACCTTACTCATTGTATGTGTACGTGACCACACTGACCGACAGGGGGAGCAGTAGCTGCTACTAGTACTGCTGCTTCTACTGTATGAGTGCTACTGCCACTACACAGCTGCAGCAGTCGTAATCCTCAGACGTTCAGTCTTTCCTTCTGATAGCAAACCACACACATGCGCAAACAATCAACTGCACTTGGCAAAGAAATCCTGATCAGCAGGGTCAGCTCGATCAGCTTCGTGTGTGTGTTTGTTTGTGTGCAACTATCCAAATGTCTGTCCATGTCACTGAATGCATACATTACTGGCTGATGTCATCATTCAGTATCTACAGTATGTGTGTGAGTGGGCCACATGCTGCTCTGCTGCTCATTAGCCGAACCAAACCCTGGGCACACCGCTGCTTCTGCCAGTAGCCTTGTATGACCAGTCTATTCTGGTTTGCTTTCTGGCTGCGTGTCTGTTTCCAGCTCTTAACAGTTTATTAATGGGTTAGAACAAGATCTGCCAAGGAGATATGTGAAGACATGGACAGATTATGGCACACAAGGCCCCTGGGCACAAACATGTAAAAGGCTTCCCGCCCTCTGACAAAACCCAGAGATTGAAGGGATTTTGTCTGTTTTTAGTAATTTAGCATCTCTGTGGTTGTTTTGTGCCTGCATTTTGTTGTTTTGCATCTTTGTGGTAATTTTGTGTCTTGTTTTAATCATTATCATCTATATTTACATGTGGTCATTTGGCATCTCTTTATACTGGGATTTACATGTCTTTTTGGTCATTTTCATTTATTTTTAGTTATTTTACTTCTTTACTTCTCACTTTACATCTCTTTGTGGCTATTTTTTGTCTGTCCTATTTATTTTTGCCTATGGGGCTGTTTTGCATGTCATTGTGGTGATTATGCATTGCTTTGTGGCTGTTTTGCATCTGTTTTTACTCATTTTGTCTATTTGATGTTAATTGACTTTCCAACAAGAAATATTAACAGTCACTTCATACAGAAGCTCTGGTTTAGGGGCCCCCTCAGTGACTGGGCCCTTGGGCCTGAGCCTTGTAAGCCCATTCAATAATCCATTCATGTGGGAAAGGAAAATAAATGTTACAGTGTTTTGTAATGATACTTGTTACAATATAGGTTAATGTAACAGTACCACAAGCACAGAAGAATCCTTAAGACAGAAAAGTGGCTGAGTAATGTCAATAGCACAACAATATCTGGGCTATCTAAGTAGCTAACATTACTTAACACCCAAAAGCTACTGGTCAAACCAGACTAGTGATGGGAATTGTAGAAATGTGGGTAAAACAAATGGTTGTCTGATACCAAGGCTGTAGAGGAAAAACCCTTGCGTGTATGATATTGAGCAAGGGTGTTTTTATTGCTTATGAATTAACTTTTTTCTAAAATGATTGTGTTTTCTTTCTTTGTTACATACTGTAGTCTTGCTTTAGTAGAAATGAAATGTGATTCGGCAGCTGCATGGCAAGTATTTTCCTAAAATACACAGATGATTGGACATTTCCACAGCAGGCTTTCTATTTACTACTTTGAAGTGGAATCAAAGCCCCAGAACCTCAGCAGTCTGAGAGTCACTGAGTCAGTTGGTTTCTGGAATCTTTCATTGAGCCATGGTGCATTTGACTAAAATTAGATTAAAAATTGCTATATATTCCTTGTTTACAGTATCACAATATATCACAATATATCAAATTGTAACCCCTGTATCGTGTTACGTACCATATCGCCAGATTTTTGCCAATACACACCCTTATAAGATATGCAGTAAATGTAGCTGGATACAATTCAAATAGAGAGGATTTAGGCTGAAATAGATTATTCTGAAGTCATGACTTCTTGACATTTAATTAAATGTTCCCCTGATAAACAAATTTAGTTAAATGGCAATTACTGTGAATGGGTATGTACACAAATGTCTATATGCTGGGAATACCAAACGCAAAATGATGCAGCTTTGCTAACAGCCACACCTTGGTTCTGTCATAGCACAACGCACCTGATCAAACGCCTCCAAGCTGTTTGTTCACCTTCATTGACCTTTGTCACATAACAACTGATTTAACTGTTGGTCATGTGCACTAACGTTTGCAACAGAATAAACATGTATATCATGAAATACATTGGATTAAATCATGTATTGTTACAATCTAAACTTCAGACCAATGTTCACTTTCCACCTGAACAGATTGTGCCATATGTATTTGAACATTAAGTGTGTTTACAGCAATTTATAACACCTTTCTATATAGAAAATATATAGCATAGAATTGCTCTTTTGAAACAATAAATAATGAACATAAAATGAGGGAAAGTCCCTGTCTTGATCTTAAGAGGTTCAGTCTAACATACTAAGAAATGAATATGTTTTGATGTAGGCACATGAAAAGGATTCATTGCTGAAGCGTCCCTTGAGGCTTTACCTGGGTCATCTGTCAGAGGGATGTTAGTGAACGTCCCATCATCATCGTCCACCTTGGCCTCCATGGCCTGAGTCTCCTTTTCTTCCTCCAGTTTGGGTTCCTTTTTGTCGTTTTATCTCGTGGAGTCATAAATGTGGCTCTCTCTGTCTTTCTTCAAGCCTTTGGCCCTGCCTCCTCACACACACCTGCTACCTGTATTATCCATATTGTCAGGCGTACCTGCCCTACCTGACTGACAGCTCGGGTTACATTGTTGTCATGGGAATGGGTTACTATGGCAACCACTGCCCCAGCAGGAAAACTGTGGGTCAAAGTTTAACTCCAGGAAGCACACATGAAAGGGAGCCATAAAGTCCCCCCCGACACACACAAGGGGTTAACCATTAACTTCAACAGTAAGATTCATATGATCCAGTCTTTCTAATGTTCTCAGAACATAAAAAATATGCAAATGTTGTAACAGGCATTGTTGCTGTTCAGGTTCAGGTGTCAGTGCAGTGTTAACCTACAGTGGGGAGGCTATGAAATGGAAACCAGTGTCATTAGATCTGTGGGACCAGCCTGCACTCTGGTGGTTATTGTGGAACATTGCAGATAATGTGGGTGACAGGCACCAGAGAAATTATGTTCCATCTGAAGGCAGCCTGCAGTGACAGTGCAACACTGAAAAGGACACTGTATGCTGATAGACCGCTGATACTGGCAGTCGATTATGAAAAAAAATGTGGATTGTAAGTCATAAAAACTAAATGCAGGATGTGAAATGAAGCAGGTCCTACCACAACATCACCTAAATTTGAGGATGAAAGTTCAGTCTTGACTTTCCAAACACTAGTTTGACTCTACAAATTCAACTCCATCTCATAGAAACAATGTTCGTATCATTTACAGCAACAACAACAAGTCATCCAACCTAAGTGACCACATACAGACAGGTGACAAATGAAAGGACAAACCAAAGTGACTCAGTAAGGTGTTCAGCTTCCACGTGCCACCAGAACAGTGTCAGTGCACCTTGGCATTGACTCTCCAAGTCTCTAGCCTCTACTGGAGGGATGAACTCTATTCTTCCAAAAGATATTCCCTCCTTTCGTGTTTTGATGATGGTGGCAGAGACGTTGTCTAACAGCTCGGTCCAAAATCTCCCATAGGTTTGACTGGGTTGAGATCTGTTGACTGTGAAGGTCATAGCATATGAATCACATCATTTTCATTCTCATCAAACCATTCAGTGGCCCCTCATGCCCTATGGATGGAACCATTCATTTATTCAGGGTTTTCCTCTAGCTTGTTACCTGCCTGTAGGCCCCTACCCTCTGACATGATCTACAGGGGTGACTTTTCTCTCAGCACTACTGAAATTTAGTGAAGAATGGTGACATTAAAGAAGACAACTCCTGCTTAAGGATTATGTGCTGATTATAGTGGGAAGGACTGTAAATAATATGTACTATTATAACATAATAATACAAACAACAGGACACCAGTAGGCAAGTCTAGTCTACTGAAAATAACTACTTACATACTGTGCAGATAGGGTGAATTACAGCAGTGTGTGGTTTTGTTGTCTGAAAGACAACATGTTTGCTTCTGCATTTCTCTGTTTTTGTCTGTAACGTTGTTATGCTTGTTTTTAGGTTTTAATGTGTATATTTGCTTACAGTAGTAGTTTCTTTGGCTGATTGCATGTGAATGTTTGTGTGTCTTTACTTGCTTATGTTCTGTTGTGTGTGTGTTTGTGCAGCTGTGTGTTTGCAGAGGATTCGCCCACCTCATAAAGACAGGATATAGTGACATTTATGGGAACAATTTAATGGGTAAGGGAGGACCCTTAACTCGCAACAGTTTGCTGAAAATTCAAACCTTAACCTTGAGACTGCAGCCTGATCAGATCCTTTTGAGTCTCATCGCTGATTTAAAGTCGACTGGTGACGTCAAAGGTGTGGTTCCACCCAAAACACTTGATAAACGCTCAAAGGCAAGTAGAGCACAAAGGTTCACAGTGTACAGGCTGGTGGAGGATGATGTTTTGGTGTTTAGAGTAACGTTTGGAGTGAATTTATTAGTCTCTGTGTGTGTGTGTGATGGCTAGCAGCAAGCGTTGGGTTCTAGCACCTTGGTACTTTGGGCTCTAGAGACAGTCTGACTCCCCCATACAACCTGAAGTTATCCACTGAAATACACAGTGCACACCGGTCTAAATGCATACGTCTCCAATGTGTGACCTTTTTTCTGATGTGTGTATGTGTTTGTGACATCTATCGTTCTCTAATATACTGAATGCACAACTGTTTCCTTGTTTGGAGTCTGTAACCAGTTTTTCTCTTTTTTTCCTCACGCGTGTGTATGTGTAGTTAATTATTGCTGCACAGTCACATCCAAGAAGCAGAGCAAGTAGCAGGATTAGTACATAGTATCCACAACTTTAGAGTGAGACAGATAGAGGAGGCTGTATCTTGTTGGATTGTTCTCTCCACACTCTTTAAAAAACCCCTGTGATAGTCCACAGACCAGATGCCCAATTTGGCACCAACACTCTTTTGCTAGGGATGGGGCATTCATGTTGCACACACTCTGACACACACACACACATGTGCATACACAGTCTCACACACAGAGGGACTAAAAGAGGCTGTAAAAGAGCACTCTTCCATCTGT